TTTTTTTTTTTTTGGTCTTTTTTGGTTTTTTTTGGTCTCCTTGTAACCCCAGCTGGCCTGGAACTTGCTATGTAGATCAGGCTGGCCTTGAACCACACCAGTTTAAAAAAAAAAAAAAAAAATTGGGCCAGGCCTTTGATCCCAGCACTCGCGAGGCAGACAGGCGGATCTCTGTGAGTTTGAGGCCAGCCTGGTCTTCGTAGTTCTAGGCAGCTGGGCCTATAATGAGACCCTGTCTCAAAAAGACAAAAAAAAAAAGTTATCAATCTTTAATTTTTATTTTACTATGTGTGTGTTTCTGTATGGTGGGTGTATGCACCTGAGTGCAGTACCTGCAGAGGCCAGAAAAGGGCATCTGATCTCCTGGTTGCTGCTTTTCTGTGTCTGTGAAATGTTTCCAGTGTTTATCATGTTTCCCAGCAAGGCCTTTTTTCTATGTTGAAGTTTGGTTCATGTATCTTTGTCTCACGTGGTTTCATTCATTTTACTTTATAAAATTTATCCTTAAATAAATAAACATATAGAAATCAGGGGGAAAAAAAACCTAAACACAGAATTACTGAATGACCCAGCAACTGAATAAATACCTAAAAGAACTGAAAATGGACTCAAAATGATACTGGTACATCAATGTTTCTAGGAACATATGGACAACAGCAAAAGGTAGAAACAGGCTGGCACCATGGCACATACCTTTAATCCCAGCACTTGAGAGGCAGAGGCAGATGGATTTCTGTGAGTTTGAGGCCAGCCTGGTCTATATAATGACTTCTAGGCCAGCTGGGGTGACAGGGAGACCCTGCCTCAAAAAGACAAAGAAAGAAAAAGAAAAGAAAAAAGGTGGAAACAACCATCAATGTGATATGTACATAAACTAGAGTATCCAACATTAAAATGAAATTCAGGAACATGCAATAATCAATATAGATGAATCTTGATATGATAACTGAAATGAACTTGTCAATAAAGAACAAATATTATGATTCTATTAGAATGATTGGAGAGATGGCTCAGTGGGTTAAAGGCAGGTACTGCTCTTTGCAGAGGACATAAGTTCAGTTCCCAGCACTCACATTGGATGATTCACAATTACCTATAATTCCAGCAACCAGGATATCTGATGCCCTTTTCTGGCCTCTGCAGGCACATAGAGAAATACACAGATACACATAATAAAATAAAAATTAAAGATTGATAACTTTTTTTTTTTTTTGTCTTTTTGAGACAGGGTCTCTCTGTAGCCCCAGCTGGCCTAGAACTCATTATATAGACCAGGCTGGCCTCAAACTCACAGAGATACACCTGCCTCTGCCTCTCAAGTGCTAGGATTAAAGGTATATGCCATGGTGCCCAGCTTGTTTCCACCTTTTGCTATTGTCCATAATGCTCCTAGAAACATTAATGTACCAGTATCTTTTTGAGTCCATTTTCAGTTCTTTCAGGTATTTATTCAGTTACTGGGTCATTTGGTAATTCTGTGTTTAGCTTTTTTTTTCCCTGATTTCTAGATGTTTACTTAAGGATTTTTTTTTTTTTTTTTTTTTTTTTTTTTTTTTGGCTTTTTGAGACAGGGTCTCCCTGTAGCCCCAGCTGTCCTGGAACTCACTATGTAGACCAGGCTGGCCTTGAACTCACAGAGATCCGCCTGCCTCTGCCTCCCGAGTGCTGGGATTAAAGGCGTGTGACACCATGCCCGGCAGATAATTTTTTTTAAGGATAAATTTTAAAAAAGTAAAATGAATGAAACCACCTTAGATGAAGATACATAAACCAAACTTCAACATAGAATAAAGGTCTTGCTGGGAAACATGATGGACATTGGAAACATTTCACAGACACAGAAAAGGTCATATTGTCAACAGGATTAAGTTGCTACTGATTCTCCCCATGTCAAGGTTTCATTTTGCTCAGCCTGAGATCTCACTTGATTTCAAACTTTGTGTCTAGAAAAGCTTTCTGTTTATTGTACCCTTCTTTCCCTCGATTATGGATGACCAGTTCTTCACCAATCCTTTCTTCCTCCTTGAAGCATTCCCAGTCCAATTTGGATTTCTCAAGAGTGCTCAAAATTATAGAACGCTCCACGAATTTGCATGTCATCTTTGTGCAGGGGCCATGCTAATCTCTGTATCGTTCCAGTTTTAGTCTGTGTGCTGCCAAAGCGGGCAATATGTTTAGATTCTTAAGGAACTATTGTACTATTTTCACAGTGGCTGTACCATATTACACTTTCTACTAGTGATACACAAGGACTCCAATTTCTCCACATCCTCAACTAGACTTATTTTCTGTTCTTTTTGGTAATAGCTTATCCTAATGAGAGTCCTGTCTTCTCCCCCTGCTTTCCTCTCCTCTTCTCTTCTCTCTCTGATCCTTCCCTCACCCCTTTATATATGTTTATTTTTAAGACAGGCTACCCTCAAACTCATCACACTCCTGCCTCCCAAGTGCTGACATTACAGGCATGCCCCATAATGCCCTGCTGGAGTCTTTTAAAAATTTTTAAATTTTATTTTGTGGGGTGGGGGGTGCACATGTGCCACTGTGTATATGTGGAGGTCAGAGAACAACTTGTGGGAATTGATTCTCTTCTTCTGATGTGTGGATTCTGGATATTGAACTCAAGTAGTCAGGCTTAGTGGCAGGCATCTTTACCTACTGAGCCATCTCTCTCAGTCTTTTAATGTATACATTTATATCTATCAGTTTCCTTAGCACTAATTTCACTATATCTCATACACATGAGATATGTTGTATGTTCAGTTTCATTTATATCTAAATATTTTCTAATTTTCCTTGTGATTTCTTCTTTGACTCATTGGCTGATGAAGTATATGTTTTTAGCTGGTCATGGTGACTCAAACCTATATCTAAGCACTTGAAAAACTGAGGCAGGAGGATTGTCATAAGTTTGAGGCCAGTCTGGGCTACAGATAAGACCCTGTCTCCAAACAAAGTGTATGCTATTTGCTGGGTATGTGGCTCACTGGTAGTGTTTGTCTAGTATGCTTTAGGCCCTGGGTTTAGCACCCCCCCCCAAAAAAAAAGAAACAAATCATGTTGTCTAACTCCTACATATGTGTCAGCTTTAGTTCTGTTATTTTTAGTTTTATTAGCTCAGGCTATCCATGACCATCTTTCCTTAATTTCTGTGAGCCGAGGCTACAAACATGTACCACTATACTTGGCTTCTTGTCTCTGTTAACCTTTTCTGAATTTAAAGTCTATGTTATCTGATTTTAAGTTATCTGTTATTAATGCACCACTTCAGCTCTTTTTTTGGTTACTGTTTGTACTGACTATCTTTTTTCTACTTGGCTTCTAGCTACTTCGGTTATTGAAGTCAGATTTTATTTATTTTTAAAATTAATTATTTTTCAAGAGAGGGTCTCCCTGAGGCCCCAACTGGCCTAGAACTTGCTGTGTAGACCAGACTGACCTTGATTTCACAGAAATATACCTGCTTCTACTTCTCAAGTGCTGGGATTAAAGGAATGTGCCAGTATGCCTAGCCCTATTTATGTTTTTTTTCTTTTTAATATTTTCTTTTTTATTTTTATGTGTATGCATGTATTGTTTGCATGTAGGTTAGTGCACCTGTGTCATGCAGTGCCTGCAGAAGACAGAAGAGGCTGTCAGATCCTCTGGAACTGGAGTTACAGACAGTTGTTAGCTGCCATGTGGGTGCTGGGATTCGAACCAGGGTCTTCTGCAAGAACAGTCAGTGTTCTTAACCGCTGAGCCATCTTTCCAGCCCGTATTTATGGTTTTTGAGGTAGGGTCTCATTCTGTAACCCAGGCTGGCCTGAAACTCACTATGTACCCAAGACTGGCCTCAAACTCATAACAGTCCTCTTGTCTCAGCCTCCCAAGTACAAGATTGCAGGTGTGAGCCATCATGCCCAGTTGTTTTATTCTATTGACATCCTATAGAAGTAACTGCAGAAAAGTACACGTTACAACTGCATAGTTTGTAGGAATTTCACAAACCTAGCACATCCATTCAGCCAGAATTCAGATCAAGAAACATGATATAGGACTGAGAGGGTAGTTCAATGGTACCATGTTCAGCATGGATATGGCCTTGAATTTGATCTCCAGCTGTACAGAAGAAAAGTCAGGATATTATCAACTCTAGAAACCTTACACACTCTTCTGATTACTTCTACCAGCAACTCCCCCCATACACATAAAGGTACCAAGTTGCCTGTTTTTCCTTTGTGTAGATGGAATCATGCAGAATGTGCCTGTATGTGTGTCTAACTTCTCTTCCTCAATGTTATGTTTTAGTGATTCATTCATAATATTTTTCTTAGTTGATGTATTCATTCTCTTTGCTGTATAATATTCCACTATGTCTTAGCCTTAATTATATGTTGTACATGGTCTTTGAATGTATTTATAAGCAAGATTTGAGCATAGGTGATGGTATCATCTTCCAAAGAGGAGTTTGTCTCTAGTTCTTGGGGTGAGGAAATCTACTCCTGACCCATCTTCACTCTGTAGTCTAGGCTGGCCTGGAACTCTAGATCCTCCTGCCTCAGCCTCTGGAGTGCTAGGATTACAGGAATACACCACTACACCTACAAGAGACTGCTGCAGTTAAGGTTTAAGACCTGAGTTTTGCTAGACCACTTAAATCTAGACTAGTATTTAATACTACTTGAAAATGTAGCCCTCAATGGTCCTAACTTAAAATGGGGTATTTTCAGAGTCCCCCATCTCTGAGGGACTCTGAGCTTTGACTGTTACCCATACTCCAAAGCCCAGGTTGGCTGAAGAACAGCCTTTGTCCAAGCCTTCAAACCCAAAACAACAGCCTGTTGATCTGAGTACTGAGCAGTGCTCAGGCCTTATGGAGGGTCCTGCAATTGTCTATGTTGATAACCTCTTAGGCAGGCAGACATTCGTTCAAAGAGGAGCTAATAGCAGTGCCTGTGTAGCCTGTATCCCTAGCTATGACAGGGCTTACTAGTCTGTTACTCTATTTTTCATTATAGCCTAATTCAGTGGTTCGAGACAGCACCGAGTCGGACCTGTCCACAATGCAGGATCCAGGTAAGGCTGTGGGAGTGTGTCAGCTGAAGATGTCTTCTCTTTTCCAGAAAGCAGAGATGGAGAAAACATCTCTGAAACTGAGAAATCTCTCTGACTTCTTTTGATCCTCCTAATTTGAGGCCACTTGAGCGTCACTAATGTCTGTGAGGTGCTGGGGAGGCTTCCTTACATACACAGGTGCTGGAAGATGAACTTGTTCCCTCAGTCTTCACTTGGGTATATTGGCCTCCTTTCCTATTTAGAAAATGCCCCACACATAGAGTTGAGGTGTCTTTTGAGCACTTACCATATGTGTCTGCAGCATCATGACTTCAGCCACCAGCAAACCAGCCACCCCAGCTTGGGATATCTGTAGGAATGAAGTCTTCTGGCCCTAAAAGATGTATTCTGAAATCCTGGGCCTGGCATTCATGTTAGGCAGGCAGGCAAACCCAGACCCACGTTCAGTTCTCCTCCTTGCCTATGACAAAACACAGTTATTCTCTATCTTGTTCTCCCATCCAGGTTGGCAAAAGAACTATTATCAATAAACTCTTCTTTGACCTTGCCCAGGAAGAGGAGAGTGTCTTGGATGCAGAATTCTTAAAGGTATCCAGAGTTCATTCTACTGAACTCCAAACCCTCTGGGCATTCACTTTCTACTTCTACTTCAAGAAGGTGCCTAGAGTGTGGATGGAGCTAGGGTTATGAAGTAAAGACTTGGTAAAGGTATTAGGATGAGGACAAGTGATGGTGGGACAGTCATCAGAGAAATATACTGTAAGGGGAGAGGGGACTGCTTCACTATGAGACCTCCCCTTGGGAATTCAGGGCAATTTGAACCAAAGGACAGAGTGCTTCTCCTAAGACCCATTCACTTTAGGAAGGCTCTATAACTTTCCTGCCCAGCCCATTTTCCTGATGTACAATTAATGGCAGATTAGAAAATTCTTCCACTCATCAGCTAGGGAAGATATGTGAACCCATCATTCTCTAACTTGCATGGGCCTCAAAATTGCCTAGAGAACATGGTATAAATCAAGATGCCTGGGCCTTCCCAAGCCTAGTAAGAGAGGACAAAGCCTCTGGAATCAAGATTTCTAGCCTGGGTAGAAGCCACACTGAAGGAAGGGGAAGCAAATGCCCATTTCTACTGTTTCCTCTCCAGATCTAAAATTCTTTTTGTGTGAGGAAACTGGATTGGCAGAAGGCTCTTGAGGAAGTTGGGGGTAGGGTTCACAAATGATCCCTGGACTTCAAGGGTTAATTTTCTGGATATCTGTTCAATGACAATTCATTTGACCTTGGCCCCAGGGTGTTATAGCATCCTTGGAACCTCCCTGATTCAAGGTAGTTGAGCTTTTGTGTTTTGAGCCAGCCTGTTTATTGTCATGGTAACTGCTCCCAGTTTTAAGAGGTGTCCTCTCCATGATGAAGACAACAAAGGCAGCTTCCTGTCTTTTCAGCTTTCAAAGGCAGGGCTGTGAGACTGGGGGGCAGCATCTTCAATAGTTTAGAGCAAGGGTTTGGAAGGCTTCCTGCTGAGGTGTAGAAGGAACCAGGGGACTATGGGTAGTTATGCAGCAGCCTTGGGCTGGTGTCTGTTCTCAGGCAGACTCTACATGTCCTTACCCATCCACCATTTCCACTCCCTGTTCAGTCTACACTGCCCAGGCCAGTCACCAGGAACTCCTGCCCCAAGATCTGGGCAGAGAGCCTGATAGGGGGCTTCTTAATTAGTCATGTGTGAAATTCTGAGTGTTGTATTAACCTTAGAAGGGTGATCTGAAAGAAGGCTTGCCTGGATTCCATCCACTTTCCACTATGGACCCTTACCCAAGCCTGAAGAGTCATTTAAAGCCATTTTTCTGATTATGGCCATAGGCATCTCTCTTGCCCAAAGGAGTGCTAAGTTCTCTACACTCTCAAATGGGAGCTGGATTCACTTCTACTCCAGTACTATGGTGGTGGCTCTGGAACATATACAAGGGTTGTGAGGAGTAACTTGACCCTCACAGCAGTCTAATAAGCCTTGCACACATACAGCTTCATCCAGAGATACAAAGTTTTCTCAATTTACCAACTCCTATTGGATTCTGGGGCTGGAAGGTTTATGGTACACAGAGCCAGCTTAGAGCTTGGAGGGAGGTAGGCTGAAGTAGGCAAGGCTCAGGATGGAGAGAACTAGCGATGGTCCAAAGTTCTTGACCCTCTCTGTTCTGTGTGGTGAGTGTAGCTAACTGCCCTCAGAGGATGAGGCTAGTAGAGGGCCTGGAAGCTATGGAAGCCTCTGCTGTTAAGACTGACTCACAGACCAAACTTCCCTTCCCTTCTTCTGTTTTACCTCTTTCCCTGTCTTGGGACCGTGCTCCTGGGATTTCTTTCCTACATCTTACCCATGTTTTTAAGAGGTCCATAGACTTTGTTTTATAACAGTGTGCATCACTCTATTGTTGGCTTGGCCTGGCCTTGAAACACACTGGGCCCATGCTTTCCTGGATCCAATTGGCCTCATTGTCTGATCCTGGGGCTCCCCACAGCCTTATAGGAGGCTAGATAGAGACTGGCTATAATGTGCTTTTCTTGTTGCCTTGCAGAATGAACTGGACAGTATCAGAGCCCAGCTTTCCCAGAAAGGTGAGTTAGCAAGAAACAAGATGTCCCCCAATTTAGATGTTGAAGAGAGGGGTCCTAAGAGGAAGGCCGCCAAACTCTAGCAAAGCATTGCTTTCCAGCTTTGTATGCCCCAGAGTCTTACTAGCTCCTATGACTAACAGAAAAAGAGAAGCAAGGGAACTAAAGCTGTCTGCTTAGACCAGGACTCTTTTCACTGGAACTTCTTACCCAGGAGCAGTGTTGGGAGGGGCCATCTAATGAGATTGAATATCTTTTTTTTTTTTTTGAATTTTTATTATTATTTTTATTTTATGTGTATGCATGTATTGCCTGCATGTAGGTAAGTGCATCCGTGTTTTGCAATGCCCGTGAAGGTCAAAAGAGGCTGTCAGATCCCCTGGGGCTGGAATTATGGACATTTGTTAGCTGCCATGTGGGTACTGGGATTCGAACCCAGGTCTTCTGCAAGAACAACCAGTGTTCTTAACTGCTGAGCCATCTCTCTAGCCCCGAGATCAAATATCTTTAGGACAAAGTTCAGATGCTGAGTTTGACAGGAACTTGCTTGGGTTCTGGAATGATGAAGTAACTAGACCTACAGAAACAGTAAAATCTTCCCAGATAGTTCAAGCAGCAGAAAAAGAGTTTGTTTCCTGAATGAAAACTCTGGCTTAACTGTCTTGTTGCCACAGAGTGAATCAGGCCACCCAACTTTCTGGCCTGTACCTTATTCTGTACCTGGCTCAGGGTTGGGGTACTTCAACTCAAGGGTCAAGATTCTCATGCATGAGTTGGCTTCTCCCTCTCTCTACCTTCTGCCCCTGCTCCAGAGAGGGAGGAACGGGACAGCCAGGCCATCATCGACACTCTGCGGAACACACTGGAAGAACGCAATGCCACTGTGGAATCTCTGCAGAAGGCCTTAGACAAGGAGGAGATGCTGTGCTCCACTCTTAAAGTAAGTTCTCAGAGGTGGCAGGGAGGTATAGCCACAAATCTTGGGCTCACCATTCTTTTTTGTTTTTGTTTTTTTGGAGACAGAGTCTTGTATGTATATCATGCTAGTCTAAAACTCAGATCTGCCTGCCTCTGCCTCCTGAGTGCAAGGATTAAAAGCTTGCACACCATTCTGATTGTATTTCATAGTTTTCCCTCAGTCAATACTGTGGTTTCCACAGTGGTAAGGTAGAGGTAAATCTTCCCAAAGCCCTTCCATACTATACCTATCTAGTCTATAAGAAAAGGGCTGTCCTGGCTGTATTTGTGGATTTTGTACCAGCTAACCAGGCCTTCCTAACACTTCACAGAGGGGCTGATCAACGGAGACCTGAATGAGGCTGGGCTGTGTTTCCAAAAGTGGCTCATACTCTACTGATGAGGCCAGCCTGAAGAACCTTTCATTAGGACTCTAGTCCTTGGCAGGACTGCTCTCTGGAGCCAGATCAAACAGCATCCTAGGGAGGAGCAAAGGCCTTTGAAGTTGGTTGTGCTGAGCTGACCAAGCAGATCAAAGCCTATAGAGCAAGCAGCCCTAGACCCAGATGAATTTTGTATCAGCCTGGGTTAGTGAGCCTCTTGCTCTCTGAGGGCCATGAGACGATTGATCTGAACTTACGATTGATATTCTGGCCTTGTAGGTAGGAGCAGTCCTTGCTGGGTGCCATTTGAAAGGGAAAGGGAGCCATCCTTGTGAACAGATAAGGCCGTGGGATATTCATCCTTTGTTCCTACATGGAGACTGGGCTGGATCACATGGCCTGGCCAGCGGGAGGGAGCAAACTAGCACCAGGTTGCAAAGCAGTCTTTAATGGCATTCTCAGGTCAGAAATAGAGTGGTCTCGTGCAGAGGGCATCCTGATCAGCTGCTCTTGGCTTGACTCTCTTGGCACTTGTCTATATGTCTGGGTTTGTGCTCTTGACTTCTTCAGTTATATGTGCAGCATGCACCATGAGGCCCAAACCATAGGATCTTGGCAGCCCACAGTGGGCCTGTAGATGTGGGCATTGAGCCATCCCTAGAGTAAGTAATACCTCAAAAGGAAGCAGGTAAGGAAATGAAGAAGCAGTTGACCTAAAGCCTCTTAACAGAAAAGGCACAGGCCAGGCTGGTAATGTAGCTCAGTAGTAAAGGACTTGCCTAGCATATGCAAAGCCTGAGTTGGATCCCCAGCTCTGTACACACACACACACACACACACACACAACTTAGGTTAGCATAAGGGGCCTGGGGGCCTTACCTCTTGGAATTTGGGGATATGTGTTTAACAGCATCTTCAAAAGATAGCACTTTGGAGGTGGAAGCAGGAGGATCAGGAGTTCTCGGTCATCCTTGGCTATATAGTAAGTTCAAAGCCAATCTGGGTTATATGAGACCCTGCCCAAAACCAAAAACAGACAAATGAAGATATAGTACAGATAGCTCACCCTAGAAGCACCAAGCAAGATGTTCAGGTATGCTTGCTCTTTAGAAGCAGATGCAGCCAGGCATCACTATGCAGGCCTTTAATCCCAGTACTTGGGAGACAGAGGCAGGATCCCTGTGAGATCAAGGCCAGCCAAGTCTATAGACCCTGACTAAAAAAGCATGTTGACAGGTATGGTGGCGCATACCTATAGTCCCAGCACTTGGAAGTCAGAGGCAGATGAATCTCTTGAGTTTGAGGCCATCCTGGTCTACATATTGAGTTCCAGGCCAGCTGGGGCTACACGGAAACCCTATCTCAACCCTCCACCACCAAATTAAAACAGACAAAAAACCATAACAACAGGAAAAAAAAAAAAATCTGCTGGACCTCCAACAGAAGCAGATGAAATACTTGGAACAGCAGCAGGATGAAACTAAACAAGCTCGGGAGGAGGCCCACCAACTCAGAAGCAAGATGAAGACCATGGAGAAGTGAGTTTGTAGCTGGTACCTGTACTGTGCCTTCATACCCAGGTTCCTTGGGGGAGGGATTCTAAGTTTTAGCCCTGTATCTGAAGTAGTGTTAATTCACCTTTTTGGTTCAGACTTCCATGGGGTAAGGAGAGCTCAGGCCAGGTATATATGGGCACAAATTTCCTTTCTTACCCTCTATGGACTCCTTCACTTTTCATAGATGCCCTTGTTTATTTCTTGTCCTGTTGCCTGTGACCAGATAAGCTGCCATGACTTTCCCTCCAGGAACCTCTCTACATGAAATCTCTGACCTTGAAGTCCTCCGTTAGCACTGCTTTTTCCTCAGCAGCAGCATCCCTGGAGTTGAGCTGTGGAGCCATTCCTTGGGCACGCCCACCTGCTAAAGCATCCTAGCAGCCCAGGCTGTTGCCATAGCAACAGCAGCAAAGGGAGGCAGACTAACCATCAGCCTCCAGATTTCAAATGCTGTGGGTTGGGTATGTTTTTCAGAATTGAGCTCCTACTCCACAGCCATCGGTCTGAGGTGGAAGAGATGATCCAAGACATGGGTGTGGGACAGTCAGCGGTGGAGCAGCTGGCTGTGTACTGTGTGTCCCTCAAGAAGTATGTACTTTGGCCATTGTCAGTAATCCCAGGAACTAGGCTCTGGCTCCCCAGTCATGCCTCTGCTGCTATCTTTTGTAAAGCAGATGGAGTTAAGGAGCAAGTTCTAGAGCCATATTGTCTTAGGGTAAACCTCTACTGTTTTCTTTCACCAGCTATGTGGCCTAGAGTCATTTTCTAGACATCTGATCTTCACTTTTCTTGCATGGAAATAGAGACTTGCCTCAGGATTGCTGAGAGAACTGAATGTGAATTATATGTATTTCTAAGAAGTTGATGCAGCTCTCCGAGCTTTAAGCCCCCTCGTGATATCTGGAGTCTATCTCCCATCAGCACTGCTACTGACCCTGCCTGGCTTGGATTAGAAACTCTGCCCGTTTTCTTCGTTGTGGTGGTTAGAAGTTGAGAGGAAGGAGTCATTTGACAGGCAGAGGCTTCAAAATGCTTCCAGTGGGGACCAGGTGGTGTAGGGGGCCCCCTAGTGAGGATGCCACTTCCTGTATACTCTTGCAAGTCACCAGTTTTTGCAAGGCCTGGGAGAAAACAGTATTTGTGTTAGATACAGGCACCCTTAAATTCTGGGGAGGGGGAGGTGCTCCTGCCACGAGGCACCTGGAGGTAGAGCTGAGGATCTGGGTGAGGCCCTCATCAACTTGGTGCTACGGCTCAGTCTGACCATCAGGGTGTCCTGCTCTGTTCTGTTTTCACCACCACTTTGCAGAGAGTATGAGAATTTGAAGGAAGCCCGGAAGGCCTCAGGGGAGCTGGCTGACAAGTTGAGGAAGGACTTGGCTTCCTCTAGGAGCAAGGTAACTGAGTTGGGAGCAAAGAAATCATTTCTTTTGTCATGCTTACTTGGGATTCCTGAGCTAGGCCTTGAGGCCTGACAGCACAGCTGACTCCCTGAGGCTAGAGGATGGCCTACAGATACTAGGTACTGCTTCTTCCTGTGCATTGTCTCTGATTCTGTGGCTTGTCAACTTGGGAGAACAAATCATGGAGGTATAAACCCAACACATGCTACCTTCTGCCCTTCCTGGTTCCCAGGTACCTCTGGCCAGCTGCTTTCACCTTTGGCACCATATATCCACAGGTTGCAATGTGTAGAGATAGTAGCCTTTGCTCCCAGGCAGCTCTATGCATGCCTAGGTTAAGCCTAGCCCCAGATGTCTGGGGTCTCACCCATGCCTCCAGTTTCTTCTGGATCCTTCCTTGGCCATGTACTGGGTAGCAGCTGGTGGGGGCAGGATACACAGTACAACTTGGCTTGTCTTTTCTTGTAGTTGCAGACAGTCTATTCTGAACTAGATCAGGCCAAGTTAGAGCTGAAGTCAACCCAGAAAGACTTACAGAGTGCCGACAAGGAAATCATGGTGAGACATCCCTGGCCTGATGATAAATGAGGGGAAAATGAGGGTGGTTCATGTGCCTTCAAGAGCAGGGCTAGGCTGTTTTTGCCTGGAAACCTGTGTACCTGGTGGTGATTCTGGACTCTGCATCCTCCTGGGTCGGGAAGTGGGTCAGGGTGTGCACTGGTCTGGTCTTCAACCTTGTGCCTCCTCAGCAGAACATCTAGCACTATGGGTCTTCTTTTACAATCTGCTCAGGACTTCCCTGATGTCCCTCCTCAGCAGAGTAGGAGCTTTACCAAAGAGGGGTTCTGAAACCCAGTGTTAGGGATTTAAGCCTCACTCTGTTCCCAGGTCTCTTCACATATGCTGCTTGTCTTCTGCATGATCTCTGGACTCTGCCTTAGCCTTTCTCTCACACTCTTCTCTTTCTTTCCCCAAGAGCCTAAGAAAGAAGCTAACAATGTTGCAGGAAACCTTGAACCTGCCTCCAGTGGACAGTGAGACCGTCAACCGCTTGGTTTTAGAGAGGTTTGTTATCCCTCTGGGGTGATATGGGATCACAAACTGGGAGAGCTTCTGAGAAGAGTCTTTACTCCTCCTGGCTTTGGTGGGGTAGGTGGCCTATGTGAACCCAGTTTGTGGACTTTCTGGCTTGAAAGCCAACTGGGATTTAACTTGAGCACAGCTTTGAGAAAAATTTGGCACTCTGATAAGAAGAGGCCAGAGAGAACTATAGGTAGTCTGAGAATGGGGCAGGAGTGGTGACTGTCTTGGGCACCCTAAAGTGTCTTGCCACATGCATCTTTTTCTCCCATTTCTGAAACTAACTTAAAATGATCCCCTTCTACCGGGCGTGGTGGCACACGCCTTTAATCCCAGCAAGGCCAGCCTGGTCTGCATAGGTGAATTCCAGGACAGTTGGAGCTACAGGGAGACCCTGTCTCAAAAAGACCAAAAAAAAAAAAAAAAAAAAAAATCCCCTTCTGATTCAGGAGTGTGTGCTTCAAAGCTGCCAGCAGAGGGAGCCAAAAGACAGAAGGATTGGTGTCCCTGCCAGGAGGGGGCATTAATCCTGAGTGTTTTTTTTGTTTTCTTTTTTCCTTTATTTCTATTTTACGTGTATGCATGTTACGTGAGTGCACCCGTGTCTTTCAATGCCCACGGAGGACAGAAGAGACTGCCGGACCCCTTGAACTGGAGTTACAGACAGTTGTTAGCTACCATGTGGGTGCTGGGATTCAAACCCAGGTCTTCTGCAAAAACACTCAGTGTTTTTAACCACTGAGCCATCTCTCCAGCCCAGTCCTGAGTGTTTTTTGCAGAAACAAGCTGGCTGAGAACTCAAGGCTGTCTTCTCCCTACAAGAGGACAGCAGCAGGAAAGTCAGATAGAAAACTCCTGTTAGTGACCCAATGTTTTATTTGAGCCACTTTTCAATGTCTTGTAGCAAATCAGTATGCTCTGTCTTCTTTATATCTCATTAGTTTTTAGTGTCTGCCCATGAAACTCACCCATTCAGTGCTTTCTAGCACTTCACCTCACTCTGGGCACTGTGCTCCCCATTTGCTACCTCTGAGACCCTTGATACTGTGTCTTGGGGTATTCATGGAGCTAGCCTACTTAAGTGTTTTTTGGGCTCCTGCCAAGTCACAGTCAATTACAGTAGAAAACTTCTTTCCTTCCTGTCTCTGACTTCGCTTCGGTTCTTCACTACATTGAAGGATCTGTTGTCCTGGCCAGTCTTGGAAGGAATAATTCAGCCTCATCAGCCAGCTAGAACTTAATTTTTTTTATATGCCTGAGTAGGTATGTGTATGTATTTGTGTGTGTGTATGAGTGTATATACATTGTGTGAGTATGCATGTGTGTATGCACATATGGAGGCTGGAGGTCTATGTTGGATGTCATCCTTGATTGTTTTCCTTATTTTAATTTTTAAAAGTTAACTGTGGGGCCTGGAGAGATGGCTCAGCAGTTAAGAGTATTGACTGCTCTTGCAGAGGACCTGGGTTCAGTTCCCAACACCCCCTTGGCGGCTACAAACCGTCCTTAACTCTAGTTCTAGGGGAATCCGAAGCCCTCTTCTGACCTCCGCAGCATTGCATGACACAGGTGCACTCACATACATTCAAGCAACACACTCATACACATAAAATCAAAATAATAAAATATTTTTTTTAAAGTTAACTGTATATGTGTGTGTATATGCCTGATATCTGTGAGTGTTGGCATATGGTGCCACAGTGTGCATGGAGGTCAGAAGATCTTGTATATGCCAGGCAAGTACTCTCCTACTTTGCTACATCCCCAGCCTTTTTTTTGTTGTTGAAAGACGGCCTCATTAAATTACCCAGGCTGGCCTTTTAAAAAATTCTCTCTCTCTCTCTCTCTCTCTCTCTCTCTCTCTCTCTCTCAACATGACCATGTGCATGCTGTATGTTTCACATATGTGCATGCAGGCCACTATGTGGAGGTCAGAAGACAACTTTGTAGAGTTGGTTCTGTTCTTCCACCCTTCTTTGGGTTCCAGGGATCAAATTGAGTTGCTAGGCTGGTGCAGCAAGCCCATTTACCCTTTAAGACATCTTGTCAGCCCTTGTTCTTCCCTTTCTTAAACCCCAGCACCTCTCTGTGGAGAGAGTTGCCTGCCTGCCTGCCTGTCTGTTTCAGGAGAGCTGTGGCAGTATGATGGGCACATGACCTGCCATGAGGTTCAGCATGGAGCTGATTTTGGCAAACTAGGCTCTCTTCTCACAATTTACACTTAGCCATTGCCCATACATTTTCAGAAGTCTTAGGTAACATGAAGTCCTTGTCAAAAGCTTAAGCAGGTCTAGTATGCACCCTTGAGGAAATGATAATCTCAGAAACCATATGATGTGGAAAAAATTTTTTGAAGCCAGGCTGCCCCAAGGTGGGGATAGGAAACCATCCCTAGGATATCACAGTCTCATGATGGTGATCCCTCTAATTTCCATTCCATGAACCTCAGGATCTTTCCACACACTTGTTCTCTGTGCCTGGCATTTATAGTGAGAGAAGCATAAGCACCCAGGGTACCTCTAGGTGCCCAGGGATTTTTGCATACCTGCTTTTGCTTATTTTTTTTTCTTTTTCAAATATTTTATTTATTATTTTTATTTTATGTGTATGCATGTATTGCCCGCGTGTAGGTAAGTGCACCCATGTCATGCAATGCCTGTGGAGGTCAGAAGAGGCCGTTGGATCCCCTGGAACTGGAGTTACGAACAGTTCTTAGCTGCTGTGTGGGTACTGGGATTCAAACCCGGGTCTTCTGCAAGAACAACCAGTGTTCTTAACCACTGAGCCATCTCTCCAGCCCCCTTATTATTTTTTAATGTTTCTAATATTTATCATTTTTATTTATTTATTTTTATATATTTTATTTATTATTTTAACTTTATGTGAGTGCACCCATGTTGTGCAATGCCGCGGAGGTCAGAAGAGGGCTTCGGATTCCCCTGGAACTGGAGTTAAGGACGGTTCGTAGCCACCATGTGGGTGCTGGAAATTGAACCCGGGTCCTCTGCAAGAGCAGTCAGTGCTCTCAACCGCTGAGCCATCTCTCCAGCTCCATCATTTTTATTTTTAAAAATACTATTTTATAGCTGGGCGTGGTGGCGCACACCTGTAGTCCCAGCACTTGGGAGGCAGAGGCAGGTGGATCTCTGTGAGTTCAAGGCCAGCCTGGTCTACATAGTGAGTTCCAGGACAGCTGGGGCTTACAGGGAGACCCTGCTTCAAAAAGACCAAAAAAAAAAAACCCCCCCCCCCCAAAAAAAAACTATTTTTTGTGTCTGAGTGTATTGACTGCATGTATGTAAGTGCGCCTGTGTCATGCAATGCCTGCAGAAGTCAGAAGAGGGTGTCAGATTCCCTGGAACTGGAGTTACACATGGTTGTTGTCTCTCATGTGGGTCCTGGGAATCAAACCTGGGTCCTCTGCAAGAGCAGCCAGTGCTCTTAACCATTGAGCTATCTTTCCAGCTCGGCTTATTTTCTTTACTATCTAGGCGGCTGTGAACCCTATACTCCTTCTGGCCCTCTCCATCCTCTTCAACTTTATTCTAGAAGTATAAATTAGTTGGGGGTTAGATGGTTAAACCCAGAGCCTACCAGGTACTCTATATGTGGAATCTGGTTTGGAACTCCCAGGTGGGGATGAACCTACATGCTCAGTAAGCTCCATGCTAGTGCCTACATCCCACCTTAGTACAGAGGACAGTTCTGGTCTCAAGCCAGAAGGACATCTCATTTGCCAAACCTGTATCCGTTCAAAGCCATATGGGCTGCCCATCAAGTTGTATGCAGGTTAACTAAATTCCCTTTTTTCTTTTTTTCTTTTTTTTTTGGTCTTTTTGAGACAGGGTCTCCCTATAGCCCCCGCTGTCCTAGAACTCACTATGTAGACCAGGCTGGTGCTGAACTCACAGAGATCCACCTGCCTCTGCCTCCCAAGTGCTGGGATTAAAGGCATGCGCCACCACGCCCTGCTAAATTCCCTTTTTTCACCAGTATTTTTCTAGACATAAAAATGTGGTTACTAGGACTGTTGAATTTAGCATTAGCTCTTCTTTTAACTTGACAATCTGTTCTAAGTTCCAGGTCCAAGATCTCAAAAACAGCTCTTGACTCCTCAGTGTCAGCTTTGTCCTGTTTTCTTTGTACTCTGATGGCAAAACTGTTAGAACTACAAGCAACCTCAAAGACTCTGCCTGTCTTTCTCCCTTGAAAACTGACATATTGCTGAATGACTCTAGAAGGATCTTAAGCTTTCTTAATATATATGGCAATGTATGGGCACATTCATTAAGTCAACATTTAAATCTGAAGAAAGAGTAGTCTAGCCAGAGAGGAAGGAAAAGTTCAAAGTTCCTGAGGCATGACTGAGCTTGGGAGAGGGGGGCTGTTGGCAAGTGGGCCAAATCTCTGCCAGCCTCCACAGGTCAGCCTTGTAGGTACAGACTTGATCCTGAAAGCAGTAAAAATTGGTGGAATTCTTTGTGGGAGATTGCTCTGAGGGACATATCTCTGATTTTCATCCCACCACCTACTTGAACTGTGCCTCCTCCTTGTGGATTCTGGCTTCGTTGTCAGGCTGCCCATGCTTTCTCTGAATATTTCATTTGTTGCAGTGGGATTGTCCTTTGCTTCTGTAATTTTATTTTGCTTTATCATTTTATCTTTTTGAGACAGGATATCATGTAGCCTAGCTGATCTCAAACTTACTATGGTAGTTTAATATGACCTTGACCTCCTGATCCTCTTGCCTCTACCTCTTGAGTGTTCGGATTACAGGCCTGTACTACCATACCTGACTTATGCAGTACTGAGGATCAAACCCAGAGAGTCTTGCATGCTAGACTAGCACTAGACTTGCTTCTGTTATTTTAGGGCAGCCTCAGGAGGCAGCTCCCACTCTAGCCTTGTACCTGCTGGCCATGTACTGTACTAAACCCAAGACTAAGGAGACTCTCAACCATCTCCCTGACCCCAACATGTGGCTCATATGGATACATTTCTTGTTCTCTCAAACGGCTCCTGCTATGTTCTTCCTTTATGAACTAGAGGCCAAGGGGTCCACTTTCTTTCATCCCCAACTTGTGTCTGTACTATGATGTGAAGAGGAAGTGCCTGGGGTTCTATAGTTCCTCCTTCACTGAAGTGAAGGCCTGGCTTGAGGCCCTCTGAGTGACACCATCACCTCCGAGACAGTCACCTGTGGCCAACTTACTTAGTTTCATGCCATTGGCCTCAGAAAATGAGACAAGACACTCAAGCTCTTTTTTCCAAGCCTGAGTGAGCCAAAGCCCTAGGCTTTGTGGAATAGGGTCCATCATCATCTCCAGGAGCTCACAAGCTCCTATTAGTCCTACCCCCAAATGAAGGCTTCCTCAGATCCCTCTAGCCCAGAATTTAGGAGTCATTAGGGCCATGGGAAAGGCCCTCCTAACACCTCTCTGAAGCTCCCTTTCCTTTAGTTTGCATACCCTAGGGGACCACAGACCTGAAAGGTTCCTGAGCGAAGGAAAGAGCAAGGATGTCTTTGAAGCTGCCCCTTCCCTGAGACCTTAGATGTTGGAGAAGGTTTGGGAAGACTAGAAAAGTTCAGTTGGCTGCAATTTTCTAAAAGAATAAACACCGCCTTTTTTTTTTTTTTTTTTTTGAGACAGGATCTCCCAGTAGCCCCAGATGACTTGGAACTTGCTATGTAGACCAGGCTGGCCTCGAACTCACAGAGATCTGTCTGCCTCTGCCCCCTAAGTGCTGGGATTAAAGGCGTGTACCACCATGCCCAGCATTAAACACTGCCTTCTTGTTGTAAAAGTAAAAACACAAGTTGAGAACTTAGAAAATATTGTAGTTGGACATGTGATACATTCCTTCAAGTTCTTTTTTTGCATGAGATACATGGAGAGGGGTTTACCAAATCATGAGATCACACATGCAGAATTTTAAATTTCTTCTTTCTTCTACCTCCTTTCCTCCCTCCCTCTCTCCCTTTCTTCCTTTCCTTTAGATAGGGTCTCGATTTATAACCTAGGCTAGCCTCAAACACATTATGTAGCCTAGGCTAGCTTTGAATTCATGAATCTCCTGCCAGACTCCTCTGAGTGCTGGGATTATAAGTGTGTGCCTCTACATCCAACTTTTGCATTGCTTTTCTAAGAAAATTGTTTAATTTTGTGTGTGTGTGTGTGTGTGTAGGCTAAAGGGCATCTGATGCACTGGAGCTGATGTTATACATGTGGTTGTGAGCCACCTGATATGGGTGCTTGAATTCAAACTCCAGTCCTCTTCAAGAGCAACTAGTGCTCTTAATCGCTGAGCCATCTTTCCAGCCCCTGCTTTTTAAATTTACTATATGAGGGGCTGGAGAGATGGCTCAGTGGTTAAGAGCACTGGCTGCTCTTGCATAGGACCCAGGTTCAGCACCCACATGGCAGCTAACAACCATCTGTAACTCCAGTTCCAGGGGATCTGGTGCCCTCTTCTACCCTCCTCTGGCATTGCACAGTATGAGTGCACTTATACACATGCAGGCAATACACTCATACACATAAAATAAAAATAATAGGGGCTGGAGAGATGGCTCAGCAGTTAAGAACACTGGCTCTTCTTGCAGAAGACCCGGTTTGAATCCCAGCACCCACATGGCAGCTAACAACTGGCCATAACTCCAGTTCCAGGGGCTCCGACAGCCTCTTCTGTCCTCCGGAGGCATTGCACAACACAGGTGCACTTACATACACAATACATGCATACATATAAAATAAAAAAATAAAATATTTTTAAACTATTAGGCTCTTCCCTAGACTTGTGACCTGTCTCCCCTCACATTCCCAGGCAGATAACAGTATCTGGCAGGCTCCATCCTATGAAAAGGTCCTTAAATGCAAATAAAAGCTGATTGGTTATTCCCTTAATATTTATGCCACTACCACAACAGTGGCCATATCTTGCCAACCAGTTATAGCTTGCAAGATTCATAGCTGGTAAGGATGATGATTAGTTTTCTCTTCTTGTTAGCATGCTTAGCACCTTCCAGCACCACAAGACCCTGCTCAAAAGGACCAAAAAATTTAAAAAAAATTTTTTTTTATAAATAAAATATTTAAATTTGCCAGATGTTGTGATGCACACCTTTAACCTGAGCACTCAGAAGGCAGAGGCAGGTGAATCTCTGTGAGTTTGAGGCCAGCCTGGTCTTCATAAATCCAGGGTGCTGTGACTACAGGGAGACCCTGTGTCAAAAAAAAAAAGGACCAAGGGGCCTGGAGAGATGGCTCAGCAGTTAAGAACACTGGTTGTTTTTGCAGAAGACCCACGTTTGAATCCCAGCACCCACATGGCAGCTAACGACTGTCCGTAACTCCAGTCCCAGGGGATCTGACAGCCTCTTCTGTCCTCCACGGACATTGCATGACATGGGTTCACTTACCTACATGTAGGTAGTACATGCATACACATAAAATAAAAATTAAAAAAAAGACCAAAAACCAAATTTAAATTTACCATGTGAGGGTCACATGATGGCACACACCTTTAATCCCAGCACTCATGAGGCAGAGGCAGGTGGATCTCTGTGAGATGGAAACCAGCCTGGTCTACATAGCGAGTTCCAGGCCACCTGGGACTACAGGGAGACCCTATCTCAAAAAACCAAAAAAGAAAAAAAAAAAGTCATAACAGTGCTCAGCACTCTGGAGGCAGAGGCAGGTAGGTTTCTGTGAGATGAGGCCAGGCTGGTCTACATGGAGAGTTCTAGGGCAGTGGAGCTACAGGGATACCCTGTCTCAAAAAAAAAAAAAAAAAAAACCCACAAAATATTGAATTTATTTATTGTGTATCTGTGTGCACACCCATTCCATGGCATACATGTGGAGATCGGAAGACAACTTGTGCAAGTCAATTCTCTCCTTCCATCATGTGAGTCCTGGGGATCAAATTCAGATCAGCAGGCTTGGCGACAAGAGTCTTTACCCACTGTGCCATCTCACTGGCCCTCGTTTGAGTTTTGTCTTTTTCTTTCTTATTTCTGATTTCCAAACTGGGCACATGACTATGTAAGGACCAAGCCACCTGGCTTATGTTTTAGAGGTTAGGGTGACCTGGAGGCAGGAGTGGGCTTCAAGGTCCCTGGAGCTGCTTGCTCTTGATCTTGCTTGCAGCATTTTGGGGGGGGCGGGGGGGCAGGTTGAGACAGGGTCTCCCTGTTGCCCCAGCTGGCCTGGCACTATGTAGACCAGGCTGGCCTCAAACTCAGAGATCTGCCTACCTCTGCCTCCTGAGTGCTGGGATTAAAGGTATATACCACTATGCCTGGCTGCAACATTTGGGAGGGGGTCTTTTTGAAACACGGTCTCCCTATTGCCCCAACTGGCCTGGAACTCGCTATGTAGACCAGACTGGCCTAGATCTCACAGATCCATCTGCCTCTGCTTCCTGAGTGCTGGGACTAAAGGTGTGTACCACCATGCCCAGCTTTTTACCATTTTTTATACTTTTTATTGTGTTTGGGTGCACATATCTCCAGTGTGCATGGGGTAACCAGAGGAAAACTTGAGGGATTTGGTTTTCTCCTTCCACTATGTGGGTTCTGAGGATTAAACTCAGGGTGTCACCCTTGGCAACAACTGCCTTTACCCACCGAGTCATCTCACCAGCCCAAGCTGAGCTGCCTTTAATGCTTGAACTGTGATATTTCTGGCTTGCCACTGTAGTCCCCCATAATAAAATTATCTCTGCCTTTAGCCCAGCCCCTGTGGAGATGTTGAATCCAAAGCTCTGTCGGCCATCTTTCAGCGATGAGATTGACCTCAATGCCACCTTTGATGTAGATACCCCTCCAGCCTGGCCCTCTAGCTCCCAGCATGGCTACTCCAAGAAGCTCTGCCAGGAGAAAGCTCAGTGAGTGCTAGTCCTTGGCAATGCCCAGAACCTGGAAGGGGATAGCTAAGACATTTTTGAAGGTCCTACCCTGATGGCTCTGAGTGGTGGATGGGGGCTGCTTAGGTATAGCTTTGGTTCTGGGCACCTGTTTTCCCTTGGCCTGAGTGCTCACTCTGTGTACTCTTTTGCTTGTTTCATTAATCAGTCTTCAAGATGAAGTGTTGGGATGTGAGTTAGAGAGAATGCTGGGGTCTTATTAGGGGCAAGACTGGACTGGTGGTAAGGCAGGTACCCCTGTACTTTACATACCTGCCCACCAGAGTCCTGAGCCTGGGACTCTGAATTTCTCCCAACGTATGCCTCTGAAATTCATGCTTAAGGCAAGACCATCTCAAATTTTGGATCCTATGACCCTGCCACCCAGAGGAATATCCCATTTAGGCAGATATGAAAAGCTGTGTGGAGCTGTAAGGAGGCAGGTGGGCCCTGCACTAGAGGTACAGTGGGACTAGGAATAGGAGACCATCTCCTTGGCCAGGCATACCAATGTGAATCATATGCCCCTTATACATGAGGTCTGTGTTACTCAGGTAAGGGAAATTTTCAAAAATTTTTATAATTACATTTATTTATCTATGGGTGTATATGTGTATGTTTGGGTACACATGTCAGAGGACAGCTTGTGGGAATTGTTTCTTTCTTTGTACCATGTGGCGGGTTTCAGGGACCAAACTCAGGTTGTCAGGCTTGGTGGCAAGCACCTTTATCCACTGAGCCATTTCACTAGGCTCTAAGGGAAATCTTAATGTGGAACTTTGGGTATGAGAAGAAACTAGATCTGTACTTGGGATTGAGACCACTGAGATACCTTACCCAGAACACGATAGCAATCTTGCTACACAGTGGCTCCTTTAAAGGGCAATGCCAAGCCTGACCCTCATGTTTTGCTTACTTTCCCCTTGCCTTCATGTCTTATAGCTCTCCTGTGCAGGATGTCCTCAAGAAAATGCCCAAAGTCTCCAAGCAGGTAAGGAGTTCCCAAAAAAATAAAGGTAGTCACCATCCAGCTCTAGGTCTAAAATTTGCTCTTCTAAACTGGGCATGGTGGCTTATGTCTGTAATCCCAATATTCAGGAGACTAAGGCATGAGGATCACCTTGAATTTTAGTTTTGTAGTCCAGGCCATCCTGGGCTACAGTGAGCCTGTCTCAAAATAAAATAAAGAAAGAAAATCTGTATTTCTGGAAGGACTAAGATCTTTTTTTTTTTTTTTTTTTTTTTTTTTTGAGACAGGGTCTCATGTAACCCTGGCTGGCTAAGAACTCACTATATAGAAAAGGCTATCCTCAAACTCACAGGGATCTACCTGCCTCTACTTCCCAAGTCCTAGGATCAAAGGTGTGTGCTACCATGCCCAGCAGGACTAAGACTCTTCAGAGTCATCCTTAGGACCCTAACTCACTATCCTTCCTACCTCTCGGTGAGGCATCAGAAATCATGATCTTGTTCCACCATCACTACCCTGTGTCCTATGCTGCTGCCTGACTCTTCAAGTCTGGCTCTGGCATCACCCTGACAGGAGTCCCAGCTCTCACTGGGTGGCCAGCGCTGTACAGGAGAGCCAGATGAGGAACTGGCTGGTGCCTTCCCTCCCTTCATCCGGAATGCTATCCTGGGTCAGAAACAGCCCAAGAGGGCCACAGCAGAGTCTAGTCGCAGTACAGATGTGGTAAGTATGGCTTCCCACAAGTGGCGGGTGCCTGGCTTCTTGGATGGGGCATGGTAACCAACCCCCTAGTTCTTTAGTCTGGCCAACTTACCTCTTCCTTCCATCCTAGGTAAGAATAGGCTTCGATGGGCTTGGAGGCCGAACAAAGTTCATTAGATCTGTATCCTTTTTCTGACTAGTGCCTGAGTTGAGGAGCTTACACGGGAGTTTACACCGTGCCTGATGGGTATTCCCAGACTCCAGACTACCGGTCCCTATAGCCTAAGACAGGCAGAGCTAGGCCTTACTCAGTAAATGTGAGCTTCCCAACTCAGAGTCTGAGCTTTTCCTGCCCTGCATTCCAGTCTCCTCTTCAAGCTTCTTTCTTGACATTCCTCCAGAGGGACACAGCTACTATTTGCCCACTGCCTGTTAAATCCAAGGCCAAGGGTAAGCAGAGAGTGCGGATAAGGACTACGAATTCTCCCTCCCAAGCCAAGTTGGATACTTTTCTGTGGCAGTGAAAACTGAGTGAACAGTGACCAGATTCATGTTTCCAATTAGTAGGCTAAGACCTGGCCAAGCCAGGAGTGTTTTGCAACATGGCTTCTCTTCCTGGACCAGTGCAAGAGTGACACCCAGAAACTGTACTTCTGTGCTCACTTTGCCCTTCCCAACTTCACCACACTGGACTTAAAACTCTGGGAGCTGACACAACTGAGTCCCATCAGCAGGGCCTGCTTCTGATTGTGAGCTCCTGCTTTATAGCCACAACCAGATGTGGCTGGGTTCCTTCTGGTCCTGTAGACCAGGGTCATTTTGACCCTAAAAGTGCTTAAGGATTCTAGGCAGGCTAGTCTGAGCAGCCACCTGCCTCCAACTTGCTGCTGGGAATGGGGGATGATGATAAGGAAAGGATGGGCATTTGTGATAGGAAAAGGATGCAGAATTGCTATAAGAGTTCCATGTGAAATAAAAAAGCATCTTTCTTCCTGGCTCTGGGTGTATAAATCTTACCACGACTTCATAAAATTGGCATGACTATCTAAAGCAGGAATGTCACCTAGACTTTCAGACATAGCAGTTTTATCTCTAGGTGCCTCTCACAGGGCACAGGAAGACAGTAGCAAGAATGGTGCTACTGCAGTTCAGAGGCTATTAGAAAGAGAAAGTGAGTGGGTAAATTGAGGGAGTTCCCATCCATTCAGGGAACTCACAGCAAGCACAACAAAGAACCAGTGCCCAAATTGTTAGCCTTTGGGTCTGACTTTAGGATACTTTTCTCCTAGAGAATTTCCCTAATTGACAACTATCTGAATAACACTCCCTAAATTTCTCTCCTATTGGATAGGAGTTCTCTGTCCCATACTGAAAAGGAATTCATCTGTTTCCATAGCACAGAGCCTGGGTGAGGCACAGGGATGAGAGTACAGGAAATGACTGAAGCTTCAGACTAAAGGCCCCAGCCACTTGCTAGCAAGTGTAGAGGAGCTGTCTAGGAAGGAGATGATATTCTTGGTTATTGTGGTAGTTAAGTTTTGTCAACTTGACACAATCTAGAATCATTTGGGAAGTGGGTCTCAATTAGAAATTGTCTAGATTAGGTTGGCCTGTGGCCATGTCTATGGAGGATTATCTTGATTATGTTAATCTAGGCGGGAAGACTTGCCTATTATAGTTGGCACTGTTTCCTAGGCAGGGGATCCCAAACTGTTTAAGCACAGAGAAAGCAAGCTGAGCAGAAGCATGCCTGCATCCTCTCTGCTCTTAACTATGGCTGCTTCAAGTTCCCTGACTTCCTGCAATGATGTAACCTGAAACTGTGACCTAAAATAAACCCCCTTCTCCCCAAAGTTGCTTCTTTTTTTTTCTTTTTATTATTATTTATTTATTTTATGTATATGAGTGTTTTGCCTGCATGTATGTATGTGTACCATGTGCACATATGTGTACCAGAAGAGGTCAGAAGAGTGCAGCAGATCTCCTAGAACTGGAGTTACAGATAGTTGTGAGCCACCATGTGGGTGCTAGGAATCAAGCCCAGCTCCTCTGCAAGAGTAGTCAGTACTCTTAATGTTGGAGCCATCCCTCTAGTCCCCACAAGCTGCTCTTGTCAGGCTATTTTATCACAGAAACAGGAAAAGAAACTAAGACAGTTATGGATGTTGGACTCCTTTGGGACTGACATTAGGCAAAGCAGTTTAGTGAGGGCAATTGCAGCATCGGTTGAAAGAACAGAGGCTGGCTGCTAGCACATGCTGAGTAGTCTTAGGCAAATTATCCTCTCTGTACTCAGCATAATCTGTAACGTGAGAACAATAGCACCAACCCAGTGCAGGGAATCTAATTAAAGTCAGGCTATAGGTTAAGAACTTAAGATATGTAAATAAAATATGCCAGATATAAAAAGACACCTAATCTCTGATCCTACTTACCTGAAGTACCTAGATACTTACCTGAAGTATCTAGGTAAATTAGTAGAGACAGATAAAATAGAGGTTTACCATGGCTAGAAGGAGTAGGAACTGGAGAGTTATTGGTTAATGGTGACAGAGTTTCTGTTTGTGTTGATGAAAAGGTTTGGGAAAGGACAGAAAGAAATAATGGTTGCTCCCTCCTCTCTGGAAAAAAAAAAAAACTCTGACACATGAAAATACATGGAAAGGGGGGCTGGAGAGATGGCTCAGCAGTTGAGAACACTGGTTGTTCTTGCAGAAGACCCGGGTTCGAATCCCAGCACCCACATGGCCACTAACAACTGTCTGTAGCTCCAGTCCCAGGGGATCTGACAGCCTCTTCTCATCTCGGGCATTTCATGACACGGGTGCATTTACCTACATGCAGGCAATACACGCATACACATTAAAAAAAAATACATGGAAAGGGACTGGAGAGTTGGCTCAGCAGTTAAGAGCACTGACTGCTCTTGCAGAGGACCCAGGTTTCATTCCTAGCACCCACATGGTGGCTAACAACCATCCATAGCGCCAATTCCAGGGAATCCGATGCCCTCTCTGATCGCTGTGGTCCCGCACATATGTGGCATACTTACATGCAGGCAAAAGACTCATACACACAAAAATAAAAATAATATATATTTTTTTTGGTCTTTTTAAGATAGGGTCTCCTTGTAGCCCCAGCTGTCCTGGAACTCCCAGAGATCCGCCTACCTCTGCCTCCCGAGTGCTGGGATTAAAGGCGTGTGCCACCACACCCAGCCCAAAATAATATTTTTAAAGTAAAAGAATGAAATACATGGAGAGGTGTACCATGTACTAAGACACTTGTCAAGATATCGGTGTCCCACCTTCATCTGTAGGTCCTCAGAATCCTAATAATAATCCCAGTGAATTATTACAGATATGAATAAACAATTCTTAAGTTTACATGGAAAAGCAAAAGGTAAAGACTAGCCAACACAATACCAAACAAACTCAGGGGACTGCTACTACCTGGCTTTAAGACATAGCTGCTTTTCTTCCTTGGCTGCTCAAGAATTGCTGCCATTGTGAACAACACAGTCAACTATATTGAGTAGAAAATTCATGACCAGCAGGCTACTTCAGAGGAAACAACTGGTCATCATTCCCTACAGGGAAGGCAACAGTACTGAAGATTTATAAATTCAAGAAAAACTAGCCAAAACATACAAGACCACACCAGATGTCAGTTTTGTATCTGGATTCAGAACCCATTTCTGTGATGGCAGGAGTACTGACTTCAGCATGACTCCTTTGATTAGGCAAAGAAAATTAAGTACAAATACAGATTTATAAGACATGACCTATATCAGAAGAAAAAGCCCTCAAGAAAACAGTCAAGGAAGGTAAGAACAGAATGAAGGTCAGAAGGATTGAAAATACCAACAGAGGAGCTGGCAAAAAGCAAAAGGGGGTAAAGATTCTGCCAACAAAAACAATGACTTACTGTAGTAAGTCTTCTATACTTACTGGTCTTTAACAAAGAAACAAAGGCAATTCAAAGAAGTAGCGATCATCTTTTCAACAAGTGGTGTTGAAATAAATCTAGACATAGCTCAGACTTTTCACAAAACATCATTCAAAATGAGTCTTAGACTTTGCTGTCAAACATAAATCTATAAAATTCCTAGAAGATAACAGAGGAAGACAATGTGTAGATATCTTGACTTTAGCGAGGACTCTTTAGACACAGTCCATGAAAGAAATTTTTGGTAAACTGGAGCTAGAGAGATGGCTCAGTGGTTAAGAGTACCTGCTGCTCTTCTGGAGGATGAGAGTTTGGTTCTCAACACCCACATTAGGTGGCTCACAACCACCTGTAAATCTAACTCCAGGGGATCTAACACCTCTGGCCTTTGCAGACACCAGCTTGTACATATACTTCTGCATAGACACATATGCATACATATAATTAAAAATAAGGCCAGGCGTGGTGGGGTACACCTTTAATCCTAGCATTTAGGAGGAAGAGATAGGCAGAACTCTGAATTCAAGGCCAACTTGTTCTCTATAGAGAGTTCCAGGCCAGCCAGGAGTACACAGTGAAACTCTTGTCTCAAAAATCACCCCCCCCAAAAAAACCAAATACATAAATTTTTAATTAAAATTTTCAGAGCCTGGGGCTCTGGGGGTTGGAGAGATGGCTCGGCAGTTAAGAGCACTGACTGCTCTTGCAGAGGATGTGGGTTTGATTCCCAGCACCCACATGGTGGCTACAAACCATCCTTAACTCCAGTTCCAGAGGAATGTGAAGCCCTTTTTTGACCTCCACAGCACTGCAACGACACCAGTGCACTCACATACATGCAGGCAATATGCTCATACACATAAAATAAAAATATTTTTTTTTAAATGCTACCTTAGAGGCAGATGGATCTCTGTGAGTTCAAGGCAAGCCTGGTCTACATAGTGAGTTCCAGGACAGCTGAGGCTACAGGAAGACTCTGTCTCAAAAAGACCAAAAAAAAAACCAATGCTACCTTAAAAAATTTTTTTCAAGAGGCTGACAATGTAGCTCAGCTGGTAGAATGCTTACCTAGTAAACCTTACTAATTTCCAGCACAAAAAGGAAAAAAAAAACAAGTAACTTATGCTCTGTGAAAGACATTGTCAGGAGTACAAAAAAACAATTATTTTCAGAAAAAAATCTGCAGAAAGGACTGATATTCAAAATACAGTCCTGTGCCACATAACAGTGTTTTAGTCTATGACAGACTTTTTATATCATTCTAATCCCAGAATATTTTATCTACCAGTGATACTGTGGTATTAGTTTGTGTATGTACACTATGCTTGTCCACATGATACCAAAATTACCTAACGGCATATTTCTCAGAAGGTATTCATTCCATTACTAAGTGATACATGTCTATAAATACCCTTTAACTTGGGGCTGGAGAGATGGCTCAGTGGTTGAAAGCGCTGGCAGCTCTTTCAGGGGACTAGGTTCCATTCCCAGCACCCAAATGTCGGCTAACATCTATAACTCCAGGTCCAGAGAATCCAACACCCTCTTCTCATCTCTGAGGGCACTGCATGACATGGGAGCACTTAACTTACATGCAGGAAGTACACTCATACACATAAAAATAATAAAATATTCTTTAAAATCCCTTAAAACTTAATAAGAAAACAAACCACACTTTTAAAAATGAGTAGAAGGGAGTGGAGAGATGGCTTAGTGGTTAAAAGCACTTGCTGTTCTTGCTGAAGACCCAGGTTTGGTTCTCAGTATCCACGTGGCAGCTAATAACTATAACTCCATTTCCAGGGGATCTGACACCATCTTGTGACCTCCATGTACATTGCATGCATAGGTGTACTTATATACATGCAGGCAAAACATACACATAAATAATCCATTAAAAATAAAAGTAGGTAGAAGACCTATACATATATCTCAGCAAGGAAGATATATAAATGGAAAATAAGCATATAAAAAGATACTCAGCATTATGTCATGAGAGAACTGCAAGTGGAAATAACAGCAATATAGAACTATACCCCTATTATGA